CTAGTTATTTCGAAATAAACTGTCTTAATAAAATTCTTTATATATACTTAATTTTTGACAAATTGGTGTGCTTATCACACAATGTTTTAATTTGCCATATTTTTTGTAGAAATTACATAATACCAAACGCCAAATTTCTTGGCGAATTCACCATATACAATAAGCCTATTAATTTCAATTTAACTCATATATTTTTATTTTAATGCACGTACATAATATGTAAAAAGTTAGTTCAATTAAAATCAATTGCTCTATTATGAAGAAATTAAAAATTAATGTATGTATGTAATTATATAAAAATTATTACATTAATTTAAAAATATGTACATATTTTTTTGATCCCTTCGCATATTATTTCTTTTCCTATAAATAAAATAAAATTTTTGAAATTTTACATTAAAAAATTTTAAATATGCACATACACAAATGAACATAAATAATTTATAGATGTACATATAATTACATACATACTATTATAAAAATAATAATATTTTTTATTCTGGCTTTACTTTTTATCATAATCAATTATTTTCTTTATTTTCAGTCATTCAATTCTTAATAATTATTAGTAATCTTAAAGTAATAAAATGGGTTCGGTTAATTATTATTACTATCAAAAACACAAAGCGTTAAAATGCGAAGTAAAATATTGAAAATTCAAAAAAAAAAAAAAAGAAAGGAACAATACAAATATAATAAGAACTTTGTATTTAATGAAAAAATATGGTTCTTTATTATCTTATAGACTCATTATCTTTTTTAATAATTTATTATGTGATGAATAATATTGTATTATTTACTATTACGTTACATTATGAATATTGTATTATATTACCAAAGAATCCTATATACGCATGTAATACAATTAATTTAAAAAAATTAATTAAATTACATTCATGCGGGGTTTAGAATCAAAGTTATTCTTGTAACTTAACAATCAACTTAAAAAATTTAAAACGATTGCTATATTAATTTCAAAAACTGCATTAAAACTTGTATGACTCTAACAAAAAAAAAACCCTAAGTATATTGATAATCTAGATGTGAACTTATGTTAACAAAATTAAGAAGTACTTAATTAAACTTTTCAAATTGATCTTAAGATATTATACTTAATTTATACTGTAAATATATTATATTTTTAAATTTTATGTTTATGGCCTTTTATACCCTATTCACACTAGCATTACGAAATACTTTTTAAGAAAAGTGTAAAAAAAGAAATTTTATAAAATCAAGAATACTGTTATTGAAACAAATTTTATAATGTGTTGTAATTCTAAACATGTTTTTCTATTTGTGAATGATTTTTTTTTTTTAAGATTTTGTCTTCAAGTCAAATCAAGTTTTTTATCATTATCAAACAAAATTTTATTAAAAATAACAAAAAAATGCCAACTGTAAACATGTTACTATAGTTTAAATCCTATTTTCAAAATAACATTGTTAGCCGAAGGGAAAAACATGTTAACCTTCACTCCGTTAGTCGCATTACATGAGGTGATGTGATATTATTGAAAAATATTTTAGTTTTCTAAAGTCACTCTTTTCAGTATAGAATTTCAAATTTCAAAATTGTTTTTAATCTGAAAAAATCAAAATTTTTGAATACCAAGCCAACACGTCAAGTGATGCGACTAACAGAATATATGTATGTATGTACATATGTGGTTATTTCTTTTATAATGTGAATAAGTTATTACATTACTGAAGTTCAAATTTTTAATTAAACAATTTTAATTTTAAAATAACATTAATACCGTTAAATTTATAATTTTTTACATCTTGGATTTAAATGAAAAAAAAATTTTAAAATTCTTTCTACCTTTTTTTGTTTTTTTGGAATACATATACAATGATTCATACATATAACGAGAAAATGTATAACATAATTATATTTATTATATTGTTGGTACGTACATACATATGTAATTTTCATACAAAAAAAAAATTAACTCAATATTGACCTCATAATAACCTCTGGCTGTATTTGAAAACAAAAAAAACAAAAAACAAGTTAATATTTAATTTAAGGGAAACGAAAAATAACATTTTATGAAAAAAAAATAAAAAAATAATAATAAATTTTCTCAATTCGAATTTTATATGTGAATTTTTATTATAGACTGAAATTATAATATAATAATTTTTTTTTTATTTTTTTTCTCATTTTTTCTTCTGTTTTCTTTTGTTTCTTTTTTTTATAATCAAGCAAAAATATATAAAATATTTTTTTTTTTTTTGTTTTTTTTTTCTTTTTTGAACTTGTAAAATATTTTTTTTTTCATTTTACCAAAATATTTTACAGTACATAATATAGTATATATATAAAAAAAAAAAAAGAAAAAAAAAACTTCCAAAGTGTATAAACTTTTTTCGTGCAACAAATACTAAAAAAATGCATTAAAAAGCTTTTTTATTTTTTTTTTTATAATTTTTATAAATTTTTTTTTTTTGTTTATTTGTTTGTTACATATATAATGTATATTATATATATTTATATAATATATATATGTATATATATATTTGAGTACATATCGTCGCTTGAAAATTACTACTACCGTATATCACATTGTTTGTTTGTTTATTTATCTGACTCTTCATTTTTTTTTTTTGCTTTTTTACCTTTTTATAATATTATGTATTAAAAGAAATTTTACATAAAAGACAGAAAATAATTAATATAAAAAAAAATTAAAGGAAACAAACAAAAATATTTTTATTTTTTTTCAAATTTTCAACGTGCCCGCCTTCTCTATATTTGGAATTTTAAAATGTTTCGTTTATTTTTTTTTTTTGTTTGAGTCTTCTTTTTAATATGTATTCGGTTGGTTACCTTGATTGAGTTTTAATAATAAATGATAATATCAAATTTTATGGAAAACATTTTTATAATATAGAGAGCATTTTTTATCGTAAATGCCTTTGTTGACAATTAATTTTAAATTTTTTTCAATTTGTTTTTGTTTCTAAATACATTAATGTTACAAAAAATCTACTTAAATATAATTTAAAAATTTTTTTCAAATTTACATACTTTTATTTTTTTTAATTTAAAATAATATTCTTTTCTATTATTTTGATTTGAATGAAAATGCATATATGTATGAATTTAAATTTAATAATTTTAAATATTTCTTCTGAGATATACGGTGTAATTATATACATATATAATATTATAATTTTATAAAACATTTCAAACTTAAATGCTATACAAAAAACATGCTATTACAAAAAAAAAAGACAGTGTTTTTTTGTATATATATATATATATATATATATGTATGCAATATGTAAATTGATTTTTCTTTGAAATAAAATTTATACAAATAATTTGTATAATATTCAAAAAAAATTAATTAAAATTAAAATCATAGTTTAAAAAAAAAATTAAAATTTTAAAATATTTAATCTATATATATATATATATAATATATGTATATGTAAATTGTATTTGCATATTATAAATATATATTTAATAGATAAATTTATATATATATATATTTTTTTTTCGAAATTTTCATTTTTAATCATTGTTTTTTCGTGTTTTAAGCTCTAGAATTGTCAATTATTTTTAAAAAAAAAATAATAATAATTAGGAAATAATAAAAATTAAAAAAAAAAACTGGTTTGTTTTTCTTTTTTTTTCCGCACGTACGATAAAAATCTCACATCTAAGCTGCATTTATGATCAATTTTTTTTTTTTTGTATTTTTTGAATGTTGCGATAAAGTTATTTTTTCTAATATTATTGGAAATTGTATTTTGCTTTCATTTGAAGCTATATAAAAGCTAGAACAACCTAAAAATAAATGAAAAATATTTTTATTTATTATAAAAGAAAAGCAAAATAAAGACAAACAACATAATTGAAAGAAATATTTACTAAAAAAAAACAAGTATAAGTAAAAAGATAGAAAAAAAAAAACGGAAAACGCGAAAATGTTTTTGAACTAAAGAGCAACATGTAAAAGAAAAAACTGGTGGAATTTCGATTATTCATTTCCTTTATTTTAATAAATTCCATCATGTTTAAATTTTTTTTTTTTTTTAGTCTGGATGATTTTTATTTTACTTTAAAAAATTCAAAATATTAAGTACGGCAAAGCACTTATTTAATTAGATATATACTTAATATGAATTAATAAAATCATTTTAAATTGTGTGTGATTTTAAATGTATTTTTCATAAATTCTATACAGGAAATAAAATTTAATTTAAATCAATTATAAAGTAAAATATAATTAAAAATTTGTAGTCAAAATTTTATTCGAAAATTAAATAAGGTAAATTTAATTTAATTTAATCACCTAAGTATATAGGCAAAAGAGAAACTTTTAAAATATTTTTGAAATAATTTTTAAGAGTTGCTGAAGATAATTGGTATTGAAATTCATTTAATTTATGTATATTTAAACATAATATCTAAGTATATTCTGAATAAAATCACATCTTATCATTTCTTATCTTTATTCTATATGCAACGTTAAACTATATTCCTATATTTATATTTATATATACATAAAAGTTCCTTTATCAAGTGTTATATAAAAATATTTAATATGCACCTTCAATTATTATTTACACAAGATAATAATATTTGCTTACATAAGAAATGATATCATACTATAATATATAGGAATGTATATTTACATTATCATTTATTAGTAGGTATATCAAAAAAATAATACTTATTACTTAGATTAATTACTGATATTGAAATTATCTTTAATTTTAAGTTTCATTTGTAAGAAGAATATAAAAAAATATAAAAAAATAAAAAATTAAATATGTTTCCACACAATATTTTTTTAATTTTTTTAAAAAACACATTAATAACAAGAATATGTACATATGTAACTATGTATGACTAATATTCGAAATTCCACTTTAAAGTTATAAGAAAAAAAGAAAAAAAAAATTTTGTTCAATTAATAAAAAAAAATGTTATGCTTACCGAATCAATTTTTGTTGTAAAGTAAAAATTATTATTTATTATAAATTTCTTTTTTTTTTTTTTTTAACTTCATCTGCAAATATTTGAGTTATACATTTTTCTTCATAAAAAAAATGGAAAAAAAAATACATAAGCACGTACGAGTATAGCAGCAATAAACAAGCGACAACACATTTTAAACAATTTATGCTTCAACCTTCTTCTTTTCTTTTTTCTTTTTTAAGAATGATGGTGTCCTTAATCCTTTCTTTTTCTTTTTGTCTTTTTTCGGTGAACCTTCAGTTGATACATCTTCTTTGCTGCTGTGTGAAAATGTACTTAAATGTGCACTTTCTGAATTATCTCCATTTTGGGCACGTTCACCATCACTAAATACTACCTCTGGTTGACTTGGTTTCGGCGCCTGTGATGTTTCTACTTTTAAAACATGTGATTCTGATGCTTCATCAGTTTCTGATTGGCTAAGAGCGGCAGCAACTTTTTTTGTAGCAGCATTCATTGTCGAACTTAGTGCTTCTGATTCAGAAAAATCTGTATCAGTATATTCACCATGAATTCTCTTTTTTTCTACTGTCCTTTTATATTCATTTAATTCGTCATCGGTAACATTATCAAATGGATTTTTTGCATATGGAGCTTTATATACTGTTGCGTTGTGTTGATAACCACGTTGAATAATGCCTTTTGATGCAGCACCCATTAAAACAACATGATCACCAGTTGATGAAACATTTGCATCTTTAATACGACTGGCTTCTTCCCATGTAACACCTTCTAATATTTGTGATTGTGGTCCAGCTGAAATTTTATCTGCTCTACGGTTATCTTTAATTTGTTGTTGTAATTTTTTAAATTCTTTTGGATTCGTTCCAGCTGGAACAAATTGTAATGCATTATCGATTCTAACAGCATTAGAATGTGTTGGTGAGCCATCAGCGACCCACTTTGTGATCTTTTTTGGATCTGTTGTACCAGTTTCTAATACCTCAACTTTTTGATATACATTTGGAGAATTTAACCACCTTGTACGATCACCACCTTTTCTTAAGTCAGACTTTTTCCAAATACCTTGCCTGTAAAGCTCTTCTTCCTCTAATAAATAACCTAAAGATGAAACGGCAGGTGGGAGCTCTACATCATTTTTAGGTTTTGGCAGTTCTGATTTTACCAATGGATTACGGTAAATATGACCCGTACGGAAGCCAGCATTATCTAACATACGCATTAATGCTTCATATTCAGCACCACCAACACGCCACTTGGGTTTCTGTTGAGTGGTTCTTTCAATTTTATTATCAATTTGATCTTTACCAGTATCATCATATTTTCCTGCATCACATCCTTCAGGTGGTTTTCTTGATGCATCATATATAGCTTTCCTTGATTCTTCTGGCATCAAGACTAAATTCTCAATACCAACTGGCAGTAATTTTAATTGAATTTCGCAAGCTTGTACAATATTGTAGGCAGCATAGAAAGCTTCTTCAATTGTTTCACCACAGCAAAGAGCACCATGGTTATTTAAAAGTAAAACTTTTGAATTAGGTCCTAAACTTCTAATCAATTTTTCACGTTCTTCTGGTTCATTTAATGACCCTGTATATGGGTGAGTAGCAATTTCGCCTAATACAGCCGATTCTTTTGTAAGTGGCAGTAAACCAACTTTAAGCGAGGATACAGCTACAACGCTATTGCAACCAATATAAATAGCACAACGTATATCTGGGCGGCTTGCATGAACAGCTGAATGTAATGTATAATGATTTGAATTGATACCAAAATTTGTTGTACCTTGTTCTACAATATTGCCTTGCATATCAACTTTATTTAATGATGATGCTGTAATTTCATGATATAACAATCCGAATGGATTTACCAAAAATAATTCTTGATCAGCATTTAAACGGGCAGTTATTTGTGCACCTAAACCTTGTGTAAAGCCATACAAATCCAAAAGACGGAATGTTGCTGCCAATTTACATCTTAAAAGTTTTTCACCCTTTGCATAACCCATAGATTCTACACCACGAATATCATTTATTGGAAGAACACAGTTGGAGCTCTTAAAAACACTGCCAATCCGTGATGCAGGAACACCAACAATATCAGATAATTGCTGCAATATACCAGAAGCTGATCCTTCTCTTATTTGGCTATCAACAATCCTTTCAAGTTCTTCGCGGAATAATTTTGAATTCATTATTGCCTCAACCCGTTTACGTCGTTCCATTTCTCTCATATCCTGTTCGATATCCGCTGGTCTTACTGGATGTTCATCTTCATCGTTAGCGTCAGCTATACCATTCTGTGGAGGTTGCTGAACTTCCGTCATTTTTATTTAAATATTTTGTATTTTAAAAAAATTATACTTTTAAAATAACTTAAAATCTACTACTTAACCCTAATTTGTTCTGGGTTTTTTTTTTTTTTTTTGTAAGTTTAAAATTTTTTCTTTTTCTTATGAACAAAGTGATGTTTTAAATAGAAAGAAATTTTGAACACTAAGGCAGTATCGCGCACTAAAAATATCTGCTTATTTCTTTTGCCAAATATGTAATTAAACTTTTTGATTAGTCAAAATTAAATTTAGGATATTTTTTGGGCTATAAATTTTTATCTAAATATGTAAATGTGTTGTGCGGATGGCATACGCCCATGTAATTTTTTATTTTTTCTGAGTCAAACTTTAATTACACTGAAATTATTTCGTTTTTATTCGCTTTTTAATTAATTATCGACCGTATTTTTTATCCACTCGTGTATCCGGAAGATAAAGATTTCGTCCTTATTTGTGGAGAAAATTCTGACTTAGTTAATTTGAAATCAATCTTCACAATCTCCCTAAATATTGATCTGGATTGCGTCACGAAGCGTACATTAGCAATGGTTTTAAAACAGTAATGGCTACTTTAAAAATTCTGAGCAACATTTAATTGTGTGGGCAACAAAAATTTTTTTGTTGTTGGAAGAGCAAACGAATTCAAAAATAATCAGATTATTTAAACATTATTTGTTTTTTTTTCGTTAGCTGTTGGTTCTTTGTTTTTATCCTAAATAATCAATAAATTTTAATTTTGTTTTTTCCATATCATATGCTTGTTTACCGAGTATAATAAATTTTTACATAATATTTTTGTTGATAATTATTTTTTGAACACTCAACTTCTTCTTCTTATTTGATTAATACCAAACTTACAAATATTAATTCTATTATATCTATAAAATGCACAGCAAATAGATGTTTGTGCATAAAAACATGCTTATCACTATTTTAAAATTGAGGTAAGTTCCGTTTTCAAACATGATTAATCCAAAAGAACCAATGATTCTTTACAATTTCACTCTAAATTTCGCTTTTCGTACATTTTCGCCTTTTATATTAAAATTTGTGTTTTCTTTAAATTAAATTGAACTCGTCAATTATTTCAATTTATTTTTGAATTTGTAATGTTCAAACAATTTTTAAACCAATATTGTATACATAATGTCATAAACAAAATAAATTTGATGTTGCTAAGTGTTGCTAACAATTCTAGCAACGTAAACAGTTAATGTATTTCTGCTACAGTATGTCACTTTTTAACCACTCTCAAAAGGTTGTCAATTAAAAATGATGTCATCATCTCCATACCACAAATTATATAAATAGAAGAAAAGCTTTTTCGAGTGTTTAACAAATTTATTTGTGCCTTGCGCAATAGAAAAATGTAAAATTTTATTCATGTGTATCCAAACATTTGAACCTGTCATGTTTGGATATTTTTATTTTTGGGGGGTTATTATTCAAGTTTCTTTCAAGATATGTATTTATTTGTCTTATCTTACGTGTCGATAAGTTTTTTGCTCTTATCTTAAAAGTAAATGAATTTATACATAAATAAGTTGTTACATATGTATGTAGGTACATAAACCTGTTTATGTGCCTTTATTTGAGTTCAAATGCTAAACAGTCAGTTTTAAAATATAACCGCTACATATGATTTACTTAACTGTTAAGTAAGTTTACAATAACCCTGTAAATATATGATTATAAATTTAAGCACAAACCCAAACTTTCTGATAGTTTCTATTATTAATTATTATAAATTCTAATTTCATAAAAAATCTATCGAAGGCCAGTTCTCAATATTTGTCAAGAAACAGACTTGTAAGCTTAATCTTTTAATCATGCATATTATACAAAAATTTTTGGGCCTTAATTTTTTTTTGTATGCCCATCACAAAATTTGAGAGAAATTAAACGGAAATAAATGTTTCTAATGAAAGAGTCTTCTTAATTTTGTATTCGGAAATACCATCTTGGTTATTTCGTTTTCGCCTACAATACCAAAAAATTGGAAACTAAAATATCATATTCAGTTAATGTGTAGCTTAAGAAATATAGTGGCTTGAGTTAATCACGTAATATTTGAATAAGAGAAAAAGGCTAAACAACTTATGTATCAATGTTTCTTTTATTTTTCTTTTTTTTTATATAAAACCATTTTATATAGCATGTTTGTCCAGAAAGAGTTTATTACTTCTCTTCAATATTATGTACATACAACATATATAATACTACATACATACATATTTATTATATTGAGTTAATTGAATTTGGTATGAATATTCTACTACTTACTACTCATGATGTTCCTATATACATAAATGTTTATGCAAATACATAACAACCACTAGGTATTCAGTTTAAATAAAAAAAAAAGAATAGTAATAATAATAAATAAGTAAATAATTTAGATGGCGTAATTGGGTGTGACTAAGGTATAATTTCATTTCATGTTTCATCTTACTTTTAAAATTTTTGTTGGTTCAACGATATTTTATGGGTTCAATCGATCCTTTAATCACCTTTATACTTTTGACTATACCCTTTGTAGGTCACATAATAATATGTTATACATAATTCAAAATTCACGTGAATTTAAAGAGTAAATTGTATGCGTTTGTACATACAACATAATGTATATACTTAAATAGATGTAATTAACTTTCTTGTATGTTAAGCTATTTAACGTTAGATAGCGCTAAATCGAGTTTTATTTAAGAGTTTTTTTGAAATAGATATGCAAAAAATTTTGATACCAGTTTTGAACAAAATTCCTAAAATTTAATTTTCTATTTATTTACAAACGTACATAATATATTACAAGCATTTTGGAATTACTTTATTTCTTTGATTTTGTTATATTTTCCAAGTCAGCATTAATGATATTCTAAAAATAGTTTAAATATTTTCTATGGAATAACGCTAATTGTAAAAATACAATCAGGTGGTATTAAAACGTGAAATTTTGCACTTTTATTATTAATTAGCAAAATTTAATTTAATTTTATGGACATATTGATGGTTAAAATAGCAATATTCATAGGTATATTTAAGCACGAATTTAAGTAATTTCGCTTTTGCAGCATTTGAAAATAAGTGCCATTTAACAGATACAACTACATTTTTCTAGAATGTAAAACGATTTATTTAGCACCTTGTAATTTTTTTGAAGTAGTATATGTTACAAAAAAATTTATAATGTAAATATTTATGGGTTTGTTTTTTGTTAAGTAAATAAATATTTTTTATATACATACAAAATAAATTGAGTTTTCTTTCAATATAAATATTTTTTTATTAATTATCTTTAAGGCTTTATTATCTTTAATGCTAATCTTATATAGTATGTAATAAATAAATTTGAAAAAATAAAATTAGATCAGATTTTTAAAGCGATTATAAGAAATTATTGTAAACTGAAGTGTGTGTTTAATAATAAATTAGTTATAACATTAGTAATAATTGTATGCAATTTAGAAAATTTCAAATTATAAAATACTATTAATGCAAATGAAATACTAACACTATGTGTTGCCGTTAAGATCAAATCATTAATTTTTATGTACATTTCGTAATACTGCAAATCTACTACCATTAAGAACTTAACAAATTATTAATTCTCCTTCATTAATTCCAAACGTTTTCAACTAAAACTTCCAGAAACGATGAATGTTTATTAAATTAATTAAAATTATTTGAAATTATACTCTGTTATGTATTTTCTAAAATAATGGAATATCGAAAATAATTGATATACTATAAGATTGAAAAAAATGATTTTTTAAATTAAATTCAATAATTTTCCTTTACAAAAATTATCTAACCAATCTCTACCTGAAATCCAATTTAAACATAAAAATTTTATTTAATTAAATTATCAAAAATTCAATTTAATTCATTTGGAAAAAAAAAAGTTCGAATTAAATATAATTAAGTTAATAATGATTTTCATCTTAAATATTTCTATCGTTACCTAATATGTAAGACACGACACATACACATACAAACATACATAGTATGTACATGAAGTAAGTCTACAATAAAGAGACTTTTTCAAACTACAATATTGTAATTGAATCAGAAAAAAAAAGAAAACACAATTTCTCAACTTGAAAATTTTGTGTTTGTAGGACTTTAAACACAAAGCAAAAAAAAAAACAAAAAAAAAAAATGAAGAAACTCAGTCATAGAAAATTTAAAGTGCCAAATTCATCTGTTTTTTTTTTTCAATTCTATTTTATGTACATAATAAAAATTAGCATGAATGTTACAAGAGAAACTAATTTATTTATTTATTATTTGTTTTTTTTTTCATTTCAATTCTTTATTTATTTGTGTATTCTATGATTAAAATGATATTCATTCTACTCTAAGGTAATAATTTTAATATTCAAAATTCTATTTAATTATTTCTTAAAGTACCCCATTATCATATTCTTTTAGATGTATTGCCTAAGGTGTTGGGTAAAATTTAATTAACAAAATACAAAATAAAACTCGAAAGTAATTGAGATCGTAACTACAATTAAACTCGAACTGAAATCGTAACAATAACGTAATTTTATAATAAATAAAATCCACTCCTTAAATATTCACTCTCATTCTATGAGACGCATAAATACGGTTACTATCACCTTTGTAAAGTAAAGATTGGCGATTTTATAAGACTCTAATAAAATATCTTAAAATTAATATCAATGCAAAAGAGCAACAGAATGATCGTGATTAATCGATTTGAAAATTTTATGAAAAAAAATTTTCGGAAAACGGCAAAGGGTTTTCATTAAATAAGACGGAGCAAGGGATTTGCCAATATTATTCTTAAAAAAATGTAAATTATTTTGTTTTACATTATAAACTAAAGTAAGCTCATTATAATACTGAATTATACCAAATTCACAAGTATATAATATTCGGTCTATGTTCCATATTATAATCCAAGTAATTCAATTCAAAATGAGTATGTGTATACATAAAATATATTTACATAGCGTATGCATAACTAAATATACTTTTCAACAGGAAATATACAGACTATAATAATAAAAAAAAATACACTATTAAAAAAACAAAATCAAACAAAAACCAAAAAAACCAAAAAAAAAAAAAACAAAAAATTAAGCTTAATTTGAACATCAGAAAATTGTTTTAAAGTGGGGTAGTGGGTAGTAAATCCAACAAAATATAAAAAGAAAAACAAAAATAATAAAAAAATTAAAATAAAAATCGACCAAATGATTATGACAGTTCACGGATTCCACCATTTATCATATAAATGCGATAAATTCATGGAACGACTTAAAAATTACAAACACACAGACGATATTACTAAATTATATAAAAAACAAAATATTCAAATGCACATACATATACATATATATAAGTTCATTATATGATGTATTTAAAAGAAAATAAATATGTAAATGAAAAGAAGAAAAAAAAAGAAAAAAATTTTATTTGAATGGAAAAAATTTTCAAATTGTGATGTCAGAAAATTATTAGAAAATTAACCATTTTGCCACTTTGCCACATCTATGTATATTTAGATCTAAGTATGTACATACA